TTTTGCGCGATAACGTCGCGCAGCTATCTAGTTGAATAATTATTTAACGTGATCGCAGTTCTTAGTCAAGGCATAACTAGTGATGGGACCTTCGGAGTTATTAATAATTAATATTGATTATTAATGATCGGTTGAATTATTATTAACTAAAAATGAATTAATAATATATGGCGCAGCTAATTGGTACGGGATGTAGAAAAAATAAAAAATTGCTAACACTTTCAAGCAAATATTTTCTCAAATAATCGTTTAGATACTGTACTTCACATATTTGCGGACTAAAATCCAACTTATTAGAGACCCAAACCTGCTAATACGTTTATTCAGGTGTTCATAACGTTGTTTGAGACAAGAATATTATTTTTAATAAATTGTGCGAGTTAAATATTAGACATTACCATTACTATTAAGTTGATAAATCCGAAAATATCGAAATATTTTATAAAATTGAGATTTGCTTTCATAAATTTAAGGTGGATCAAATCAACAATTTCTATTTTATTGATCGAATTTTTACAAGTGAAATTATCAAGTTCATATAAAAAAATAACACCAATTAATGAACTTATGCGAATCACTTAAATTTTCAAGCTCAAGTGCTATGCTTACTTATGATTAAATCCTTTACTGCTCATTCAAAGTCAGAACTAACTCGATATAAATTTTTTCAAAAGCATTGGGCATATATTTATTAATATTGGCAAAGCAATTCCATAATTACAAAGATTTGAACTTAATATTTGTACATACAATTGCTGAATATAACAATTTAGTGATTGTTTCACACTTTTAGAATTAAAAACATCTACAAGTTTTGGAATAGTTCCTTCATGATTTGTATCAAAAACATAAAGATCATCTATTAATCCAGCAGATATTTGATTTAAGTTATCAATAAATTTGTCCACATCACAATCTTCATTTATACCATCATCATTATCATTATTGTCTAAATTCTTTTCTTCCATATTATTTGATGTTGATTCATTTAAAATTTTAGATTTTTCTTTGTCCTGTTTAGATTTTTGGTTTATATACCAAAAAACTTGTGCCATTTTTGCAGCCTGTGATAGTAATAATCGATTACAACATTCTGTATATATATTATCTAATAAAGATCATACTTGTTCAGAAGTTGCAGAATTGGGTGGAACAGACAAGAGACGACATGCAAATTCACTTAAATTTGGTGTTACATGAATCATTGTATGCCAATATTGAAGTGAAATCTTGTAAAACTTGTATTTTGGATTGACAATGATGTAAATGGACCTTCTTGATTCATATAATTCAACCATTCATCAATAAATTATCTTGATTATAACTTGGATAAAAAGTGCAAAACAAGCTATATGCAGCTTCTTGGATATACAAAAACTATATGGGGTTTAACTTTTCACTACGATGATATAGATGAAGAAACCAAGTAATTAAATAAATAGGATTAAAGATTTTTCTCAACAATTATCAATTTCTATAATTAATGAATCTCAAAAGTTACTATCGTTATTAGTAATAGTAAGTAAACTTTTATTAACAGTTTCACAAAGCCATGCTCATGATGCAGCTACTTGACCTAATGTGGTCTTGTCACTTTCAAAAATTTTTATAATATAATTATATGGCTTTAATAATGCATAAAATAATTCAAGATTTATTTAGAATTTATTATTATTAATAATGTTACTAATGCTTAGATTATTTTCTCGCGAAATTAGACAAGACGAATGCATAAATGCAATAATCTAAAAATATTAAAGAAAAATAAGTATAAATTATAGGAGTTTTCTAGGCTTCGCACCCCTGCGTTATAGTTATATATCGCCTGACCAATTAAATTTGAAGATCATGTGTGATGCGCAAAT